GTCTTACGGGTTTAGAACGACATGAGGGTGAGTAATTAATGACAGAATTTTCATTTTTGGGCGAACTATCCCTTTGGGTGCTCGAGCTCTTTAAAGTCTGGTTGATTCTGATTGCCTGGTAATTTTTTTTATTGTTCTTTAGCTGAAAAAAAAAACGATCTGAAAATAATTCCAACACTATTGTTCCTCTGTGTTGTTATCATGGATTTAACTATTTTCATAGAATTACAGCAAATATTAAAAGTTAAGGACTACAGTTATCGTTCTTGGTGTAAACTGACAAAATTTTATAGTTATAGTTATCGCCCTTGGTGTGACCTTGCATACTAGTTTTACATTCACTAATGTACGTTTTATGCGTCTGCTGTGGTTTGCATTATTTTCACAGAATAACAGAGATTTAAAAAATTTAGGTATAGTTATCGTTATTGTGATTGGTGAGAACAAAGCTTACGTGAATCTCATGTTTGCTGATGCACTGTACCTTTGTTATGCCCCTAGTGTGGATGAGGTTTTTGTAATTCACAAAATTGCAGCGTATAATAAAAAATGTATGGTTGTTGTTATCGTTTTAGTTAGCATGCGTTACATTGATGTATATTTTGTATGTCTAGTAAAAAGCAAAAATATTTGGTTTCCTGTGTCATATTGAATGTTGTTGCTTTGAGAATTCTTCTGATGTAAATATATCACCAAGACAAAATTATCTAGCTGGCTGACATAGATGACATTAAAGTAATTCGGTTTTTTGCATTACGGTAATGACAACTGGAGGGAAATGACTAATTGTCATAAAAAGAATGGAAGAAATAATGCAACAGATCTTAATGGGGCTGAAAATGGCTTCATTTTCTCAATGCAAAATATAATTGATTAGGTCTTTCATTTCATTTTAGTCTGAAGTGTGACCTGGACAGATCCTTTTGAGTTTCTATATTTGCATATTTCCTTGACGTACGAAGAAGCTCTATTTATATCACGTCAAGTATATACTGTGATGGCCATATCTCTAAAAATATCTGATGATCAAATATTTCGAAAATCCAAACACTCGTTATTTCGAGAGCACATTATTGAAGTCAAAAACGTCCGTTTCTGTAATGAGTACCGCTCCGGTTTTCATACAGAATTTGAGGCTGATGAGAGAATGCCAGTGAAAGGATATAATTGCAATCAGACCTCGCTCTCTCTCTCTCTCTCTCTGCCCTCGACTAATTAAAGACACTCAACTATAACGATGGCGGAGTGGGAAAATGGCACGGTGGAGTTGGCGAGGGCGGGGCCGTGTGACCTGCCCCGACCCTCAGAGGGCGTGTTCAGAGAAATGGCGATTACGATGCGAGCGCTGAGCATCAGTGTCGTGTTTCATCACCCTCAGCTCATCTCAGCACACAAAATGTCACAGGCATCAGAGAGGGGCTTAGCTGTAATGGGTAAAGAGATTCTATCGTTTTTGTTCCTTTTTTTTTTTTGCATATTCATACTCTGCTTTTTTAGACAAAATTCAAATGAGTCCAGGCAAAGATAAGCTTTGTGTTCTTTCCTGGTAGGCTGAGGTGACAGTAACGCACCAATAGGGAGATGGCATAGAGGTGGCTCCGCCTGTGAAGCGAGCTCTCCCTTCCAACAACACCTGGCTGAGTTGAATAACACAAATGCTGTGCTGCATTCAGACCTGCTGCGTGTATCACGCATGACCCTGTGCATGAACTCATTATTAATAAGAGCTACAAACTGCCTCATCTCATTTACATTGGCAGTAGATCTCAAATGTCTGCTTTGGCTGCACTTTATAGGCTTTTTTCTCTACCTATATGCATGAGGGGTTTGGCCTGCAAATACCTGTTGACCATTTGTGACACTGGACCACAAAACCAGTCATAAGGGTACATCTTTTGAAATTGAGATTTATACATCTGAAACCCCCATATGATTGTAAAGCGCTTTGGGTGTTCAGCAATACACAATATAAGCGCTAAATGCCTCATTCATTCATTCAATGTTATTCAATGTTATTCAGTATTTTTGGCTATTGCTACAAATAGTGCTACCCGTGCTACTTATGACTGGTTTTGTGGTCCAGGGTCACATTTGTTACAGGGGCTGTGTTTCCATTTTGGGGATTTTAGCCATTTTATTGATTTAGACTGTGAGAGACAAGAAACATGGGTGGAGCGGAGGGACGAATCGGATCAGGAAATGACCCAACCTGGATTCGAACACAAGTCTCCCACATACACAACATGTCGAAGCACATGCTCTACCCATCAGGCCATGCCTCTGACCTTTTGTAGCAGTTTATTTCTGAATAGAACATTAGTCAAGGCTTCTCGCAGCAAAATCAGTTGTAATTTTATTTTGTGAGACATTTCCTCCATCTCTGTTCTTTAGAATGAACCAGTCATTTTTCTTAATCTTTTAAGACTTATAAATGTAAATGATTGGCTAATTTTTTGTATGTGAAAACTACTGGTGAAAATATACCGATAGCATTGGTATGTAAATGAGGTCGGCCTTATTCTAATATTCTCATGGTCCTGACATGTCAACCGTGATGATCTTTAAATGACCCTTTCGTTTTCATAACTTTATGGTTAAGCAATATTCACACGTGTGTGAATGGCCAAACTCTGCAGATATTCAGTACAATAATCCAGTTTGTGAGTGTGATATTGCTTTTATACGACAGTTATATATACAAGAAGTTATATCACATATGTTTAATCCACCAATAAAAATAGTTCCAAATAACAATTACAAATTAAATAAAGAATAATTTAAATGATCAAGCAAAAAAAAAAAAAGGAACAAAGTGAGCGGCGCAAAAACAGTTTCACATTTCCACTCAAAGCGTTTTTTTAATCAGTCCATTCCAGCAGCACTCCAAGATTTCCATTTTTCATTCCAATCACCGGGGAGCGAAACCAGTAATGAGTGATCCTGCAAATATTCTTTCAACAATCTTTCGCAAACTTTCAACAAACCCCCTCTTTGCTCAAGGAAAAAAATCCCACAACTCCACACGCTGCTCAGCCAATCAAATTGGAGGACCAGAACTAATTATTTAATAATATTGTTTTTTTCTGATTTAGAATTTCTTATGTGCTTTTGGTTTTACCACTGAAGCTTTGGTGTTTACAACTGTACAGTTTGGCATTAGTTAATAGAGGGATATCGATTGCTTACATTGATTTAACTAGCGCTGTTATTGTTAACTTACGGAGCTGTGCACATGACATGCAGGAAGAAAAAAAAAAGTCAATCTTGTGAACGTTTTACTAATTTGTTCCCTCGATTTACTAAATTGTTTGTACGTTTTACTAATTCGTTCCCTCGGTTTACTAAATTTTACGATTTACTAATTTGTTCCCTCGGTTTACTAAATTGTTTTTACGTTTTACTAATTCGTTCCCTCGGTTTACTAAATTGTTTGTACGTTTTACTAATTTGTTCCCTCGGTTTACTAAATTGTTTGTACGATTTACTAATTCGTTCCCTCGGTTTACTAAATTGTACGATTTACTAATTCGTTCCCTCGGTTTACTCAATTGTACGATTTACTAATTTGTTCCCTCGGTTTACTAAATTGTACGATTTACTAATTTGTTCCCTCGGTTTACTAAATTGTTTGTACAATTTACTAATTCGTTCCCTCGGTTTACTAAATTGTTTGTACGTTTTACTAATTCATTCCCTCGGTTTACTAAATAGTTTGTACGATTTACTAATTTATTCCCTCGTTTTAGGTAAATCATGCACACAAAATAATAATTTGTTCTACTTCCTGTCCGCATTCTCATGAACCAATATAGATTCCATGCAGAGCTGCAAGGCTTTTGAGAATGTCTCTATTTCATTCCCAACTCAAAATTAAACCCAATGAAAAGTGTCTGCAACAGTTTTATGAGAATGCGGACAGGAAGCAGAACGAATTATTTTGTTCACATGATTTACTTAAACAGAGCAAACAAATTAGTCAATTTACCTTTTTTTTCCTGCATGTCATGTGTGGGCCTCCGTATTAACTAAAACTTTTAAAAAAATATGGTTATTAATTAAAAAAACAAAACAAATAAAATATAAATATTAGATGGAAACTGATGGAGCAGGAATAAAATAAGTTTAATTTGAAGTACTTAAATCACTAAAACTTAAACAAAATCACCAAAACATAACCTAAAATTAAAATAAAAACTGAAAATATTAAAATAACAACTAATTCAAAATATTAATAAATACTATAAAAGTGTATAAATAATATTAAAACAACACTGGTTTATACAAGTTTTGAATTGGCCAAATAGTTCTTTTTAAATAAGTAAACCAAACATAAAATGTCTAAATTCTGCACATTCTTTATCGTTTAGCACAAGAACTCCAACACGGTCACAAAAAAAGCTCTAAAATTAGAAACCGACAAGAAGACAATTACGACGGTATTCCCTGAGCTGTAATTGCCTCGCACAGGAAATGCAACACAAATGGAGACATTTCCTCTCGAGGTTGGCTATCTGAAGGCAGCATCACGTGCCAGCCATCTTATAGCTGAATAGATTGTACTCTTGATCCGCCCCCCTCGCAGACAATTTGCAGCTAATGGATGCATTTGTGTGCTTGTTAGACATCGTCCTCAAGGAATTGATGCGCTGCTGAAATTTCCCTTCTGCACTGAAAACAGTCCTTTAATGCGCCACAGGGGCTTTTGATTGGTTTTGTGTACTCGTCACACAGGTCCGTGTCATTAACTCACAGATAATCTCACCATCTGAGTATGGCGAGGAAATAAGCATTCCGTTTTGGAATACATTTGAATTTATTCCCTTTTTTTGTAATATCGCTTAATCATGGTTGGTTTTACAGGTTTGAATTGGATACTGCAAAATATTTACATCCAAATTTGGCATAATAAGTGGTTTTTAGGGTGTTATGGGTGGTTTCTCATATTTGTTCAGATTCCCACTTGTCATTTTGACTGAAAATTTCATATTCGTGTGTTTCAGTGGGCATCTGGAGAGCCTCCTGTTTCCGCCTCCTCGTGTTGCTTTACTACCATGAGCAGTTCCACTCCATCCACAGGTACTGTCTGTTCCTCAACATCACTTCCATTTTTAGAGATGATTTGACTTAGCCTTTTTGTTGAGTTATTCATGCGAGGTATTACGTTCAGTCGCAAATTTAAAGACCACATGAAATAAACACCAGTGTTCGCAATTGACGCCAAATGTGGTTTCATAGTCTTTCATTAAAATTTAATAACTTTCCCCGCCTCTGACATGACTTTGCTTTTCTGCTAATGTAACCAAGGGTGTACAAGTGAGACAAAATAATACTTTATTCTGATTGGTTACAGCATTGTACGGTATAATGAGCGCTAATGACGTTCCAGCCAATTGATTTCCTACATATAGCGGCTGTGCTAGTTCACTCATATCACTTACATACTAAAATAATTTGAACTCAAATCAATATTTCATGTCCATTTATTTATTTTCTATGCGAGTAATAAGCTGGATAATGTACACTACAATCAGCCGCTCATTATCACACAAACCTCCGTTTTGCCTTGGGGTCCTGATTAGCTTGCAGAGGTTTATTTTGCGATAATGACAAACAGACTGTAAATTATCCCTTATGTTTTAGCCAGGTGTGTTATGAATATGAATATTTTGATACGTTCGGAAATCTTACAAAAGTAAAAAGGTAATGAAGTTTTAGCAAACGCTGTTTCATGTCGACTTTCTTCATACTTTTTCATGTAAAGTGTAAATCAGCCTATTCAAACTTTTTGCAAACAGATGAATTTGCGTCTACAGTTGGTTCGATGTAAAAAATAGTAATAATCATAATATCTTAAGTCTTAAGTTAAATTCAGGCAATGTTATGGACAGTGGCTTCTAAAAATCATACTGGCACAAAATGTATTATAAAAAGAAATTGTTATTGCTTTTTAACAGCACTGAAAACAAACCCTTCAGTGATCAGTGTGCGGTGGTGAAATGGTTGGCGAGTGTATTAGCTGTTATTTAAGCATCTGAATGGAGATAAAATGGAGGGAAGAGTGAAATGACCCCATCTTCTCTGTCTTTCTCTCGCTCACTCATCCTCCCCCTGGTAAACAATAATCCTTAATATGTTGTTGTGCTTTGGAAGGGGAAACAGTGTCTCTATTATTTTGGGAGTTTAAAGAGGAATGACCAGGGATAGCCTCCGGACAGCTTCTATATTTTGATATTTTCTGCTTCTCATGAAAGCAGCACAGTGCGCGCTTTTAGATGTGCTTGGCATTTTAGTGATCTGGCGAAATAATTGCAAAATGACGGCTTTAAATGTGGTCTAGCGTTGAATGACTGGTATGATTTGCGGATGCATGTTGTGCAATACAAATACAAAAAGGAACAGAGATGCTAGTATTGTTTTGAAGATCAAGGTTTGCACTTCTCTGTGAAGTATTGCCGTTTCTGGCATTTCCCATGAATCATTGCATTTCCTTGGTGTAGTCGATCTTTTTTTGGTTTATTGTTTGATTTTGAGACTGAATCGCCAAAGCCAGAAGGCAGAATTAGAGTGCGAGAAAGTATTTTGTAGGATTTCATGTTTTGAATACCTAGGTTTTGTCTGGTTAAATGCCAATATTTTTAGATTAAATATATGATAAGTATAAATATTCTTTCCATTCATTATGTAATGTTTTATACATTTTAAAATTATATTAAAATATATTACAATTATTTATACTTTTTTAAATACATTGGTTTATTATACATAAATAAATAAATATTTGTATAACTTATTTTTTTACATTATCAATCATATGGCCTTAGGCACATTTGTATAAATGCATACTATTAAAGTTGTACAAAAATGTATGATTAAAAAAACAAAACAAGAATGAAGCTCCACCCCTAAGCAGTGTACAAAACATATGATTGAGATTGTACTAATTCATACAAATTCACCAAAATGTAAAGTAGTTATGAATTGCCATGAGGGTGTGTTGGAACTTTCCTTTGTCAATTTCAAAATCTACTGCCAGACTTGTCCATGGATAATGCACTTTTTTCTCTTTTCAAATATTATTTTGTGTTTTATGTTTGTGATTTATTACCAGCCTAAGGTGGTTTACTGGTCTTATCCGGTTTATCTGGTCAAAACAGTCCTGCCTAACCAGCTTTGTCAGGCTTGGAGATCAGCTAACCACCTTAGGTTACACTGTTTTCTTGTGTAAGGTCAGTCATTAAAAACCCTGTATCTGTCAACCGTTAATCAGAAATATCCTGTCATTAGCATTTAGCCCAATTTGTTCTGGCACTGAATTCTACATTGAATTGAATTTGACCCTTATATTTTTCTCTGTAATGGAGTCAGCAGTATCATTGTTTGGGTTTCTTGACGCGAAACGGCCTTCTCAGTACAACGTGGTTGTTGCTACGCAAAACGGGAGCCATAACAAAGCTGACCATGAGTCTTTGTAGCTTACATCAAGGTCAGTATAGTCCCTGCTGTTTAAAGCTGATGAAAATAGTTTTAAATAATTGTTTTCATTAATAAAATGGTAATAATTTTACTAGAAGGTGTCTTTACTCTTGCCTGAACACTTTTGATTAAAACCATGCTGTTCAATGAAAAGCTAGTCATGCTCATATACAGCAAAAATATATTTTTTAAAAATATTTTTCAAAATACAAAAACAAAATATATATTTGCTAAAATATAGTTCAAAATATATTTACGTAAATATATATTTTATTGTATATTTTTTGAAAATGTATTTTAAAAATATAATTTTTTTTTAAAGCATTTAAAAATATTTTCTTCTATATATTTCTGTCCAAGAAAATGCATTAACGTCACATTTGAAGCAAAATTTGTTGTCTAACGTGTGAATATACATATAATATATTTGAGTACAATTCAGCAAGAAACATACTTTACAATGTTACAAAAATATTTTTATATAATATAAATATAAAATATACAATAAAATAAAAACATTATTAAATCATTATAAATCTAGTTTTGATCTCTAATAGGCTTTTTAGCCTATATTTTTATGTATTTTCTTGCCTCTGATACAGTTTGAAATATATTTTGGTATATGAATATACTGTCTATTTTAAAATATATTTAATTGAACTTCACTGTTTACAACATATAGCCATATAGGTGGGAGGATGTTTTCTGTCATTATGCAAAAATAAAATGCTAGTCCTTTACACTTTTCGGGAAGCTACTTGGAAACTGTTAACTAGCCATCCATAAATTAAAGCAGCTAAACTATAGTCTATATATATATATACACACACACTAAAATTAAATTAGACTTTCGAAGTGTACTCCATTTGATAGCATTGATGACTGTGCTGTCCATTGTTTCCCTCCAGAAGTTGCCCAGCTAATAGGGAATATTCTTAGAATGTTCTGGCAAGGTTCTCCAGTGATGTTGATAGAACATTCATTCAAAGTTGTTTGGTCTTTAATAATGTTCTCAAAATGTCAGCACAAAAACAGTATTTATACTTGAGTTCTGGAAACTATTTCTGAAACATTTTAATTCAGAACTCATCTCAAATGTGTTGGAGAACATTCAAGTAACATTCCCATATGTTTTGCAAAATAATAAAACCGAATGTTCCCATTGATGTTGCCTTTAACGTTCACATAAATGAGAAAAAAAAAAATGTAAACATTAAAAAAACTAGATGTTTTGAATGTTCAGAGAACTTTCCGGAAAAAAAAAATGTAATCATAACTTAAGGGAGCAATAGCAAAACATTCTTGGAACATGTTTTTGTTGCTGGGTATGAGCGATAAAATCTTTGTACTTGTTTAAACTAGTCGTTCAAATCTCATAACCGCCTCACACCAGCACTCGTCAACATAGCCGACTATTTCTATTTTTGTTGCATCTCTAGTAGTTGTGTTGTTTCTTAAGGTTTTGATTGTTTAATTACTCTACTAAACAAAGTTTAGTTTGTTAGTCTAGTTAGTTGAGTTTAGTTTATCCCCCCCCCCCAACCCTGATCCTGCAGTCACTGCTTTTTCCTACGGCTGTGTTTATGAACTCCTGCACATCAGAGCCTGCGATCTGAAAAGCATGTAGGACCGGATCCTTTTTCCCATGTGAAGCAAACCTTGTGTTCCGGCACATCAAGCATATGAGAGCCCAAAGGCTCGGAGTCGTTCCACCTTGGCAAACACATGCACACTTGATTGCTGTCTACTGGGACGACTCTGCCAGAACAATACAAGAGCATTTCTGCCCTGTCAAACCTGACATACTCCCTCTTGCTCCAGGCAAAGTTGACAGTACAGCCCATAACCATGAGTTAAAGCTGATCAGACATGTTTGACTGGGCTTTGGGTGTGTGTGTGTAAGTGTGTAACCAGCTTTTATCAAACTGAACCCTACTCTGTTCTTACTCTAGCACATGATGGATCATAAACGTTCTGACTTTTCATTGGGAGGGGTTGTGACAAAGCGACAGGCAGGTGGAACGGCGCAAAGGTAACGCTTGCGGTGAAGCACGGCATTCCAGGAATGTCAGATATGGGAATTGTTGATGGGAAGTCGCAGAATGCTCGGTTGCGAACAGCATTCCGTGAATTCTGTGGTGTCCTAGCAACAGTTTTACTGTAGTGGGATTCACTGAATTAACAGTGACAGCAAGGAAAAGATTTGTCTCTAGTCTCTTGGGTGATGCGTAGACAAATATCATGGAAAACGGATGCTTTCTGCAAACAGATAATGCTGCGCTGGAGAAATCCTGCCGTTTGCTGAATAACTTCCTCATGCTGTTTTGGCTTTGTTTGTTGCACAAACAGAGTTTAATGTTTGTCTACTTTTTTGGAGTTGTTATAAAATGTAATATAGTTGTATAATGTAATGACACCTCTTCAGGCAAACTAAAACGTACATTTATCCTTATTCTAACTCTAGTAATTCTGAGTAGTTTTAAGTTTGAACCGATTTTAACCAGTCTCATATAACAGAATGTGAAAAGAAATGTACAATGAAGCTTGCAGTTGCAATGTCATTGGGTCGAGACCATGGCTTAGTGGTTAGCATATGTGCCCTG